TGACTTCTGCAACTTGCAAACTTTCCTTTCATGGCCTTTTTTCACAAATCCTTCAGGTTATATCATGTAAATGGTCTCCTCAAGACGTCCATTTAAAAATGTTGTCTTGACATTCATTTGCCAAACCTCATAATCATAATGAGCGGCAATGGATAAAAGGACTCGAATAGATTTAAGCATGGCAACCGGTGAGAAGGTTTCTTCATAGTCGATGCCTTCTCTCTGGGTAAAACCATTTGCCACTAGCCTTTCTTTGAAGGTTTCAACCTTCCCATCTATACCTCTTTTCCTTTTATAGACCCACTTGCATCCTATAGGCTTTACCCCATTAGGTGCATTTACAAGATCTCAAACCTTGTTGGAATACATAGATTCCATTTCTGAGTTCATGGCTAATTTCCATGATTCAAAGTCTACATCCTCCATTGCTTCCTTAAACGAAGTGGGATCTTCTTCTTGCTTAGTAGAGATCGCCTGATAGGATTCTCCATAGAGCAAGTACCTAGAAGGTGGTCTCACAACCCTCTTACTACAAGTAATAGTTGAAGGTGCCTAATTGTCCAGTCTGACCAAAGGTCCTTCCTCTATTCCCACTGTTTGATCATGTCCTTGGTTAGGAACAACATCCTCATTATCCTCATTTGTAGGGACATGTGGAGATACAACAATGGGTGCCTCATTTTCTACTATCTCAGGTTCTATTTGCCTATGAGGCCCTGTGGGTATCACTTGCTCACTTGCTTCATCAGCAACCATTGGTTCAGTAGGAGGTTCCAAGTCATCACTATTAGATTCTATGTGGAAATCTAAAATTGAGTTGTTTGAACCATGTTCTAACATCTCTTCCAATAGAATCTTAGTAGTAGACATGTTTTCTTCTATATACTTATCCTCTAAGAAGGTTGCATTTATGCTAACAAATACCTTCTTATCAAGAGGATTATAGAAGTGGTAACCTCTCGTTCCCTTTGGATATCCTACAAAGAAATAGACATCTGATCTTGATTCCATCTTATCTGTCTTTCCCTTTAGCACATGTGCTGGACGTCTTCATATCCGAATGTGGTGTAAATTGGGCTTGCGCCCATTCCACAATTCAAGAGGTGTCTTGGGAACTGACTTAGATGGTATCAAATTCAAGATATAAATGGCTGTTTGTTGTGCATATCCCCAAAAGGATATATGCAATGAGGAATAACTCATCATTGATCTTACCATATCTAAAAGAATTGCAAACATAATTAGTGGTTCCAGAATTTACAATCTAGGTATTAGTAGAATCAACCACTAAGTATGACTCAATAAATAGGACATTATTGCCTTTACCTTGCTTCCCCTTAGCTAGGTAATCTGGACAGTTCCTCTTCCAGTGACCCTTTTGTCCACGGATAAAACACTTTCCCTTTGGTTTCTTATCAGCAGTAGTTTTCTTTCCCTTTGACTTGCTATCTGACTTTTTGTTTGGCCTCTTCCTCTTCTTTCCTCCTTTGCCACCAGAAGGCTTAGGATGAGAGGGTCCGGCTGTAACAGTCAAAGTACTTCCACTCCTAGCTTTTAGAACAGATTCAATATTTTGTAGCTCTTTCATTAATTCTGTCATAGACATGTTCATCTTGTGTAGATTATAATCAACTATAAATTGTGAGAACATCTCAGGAAGAGTTTCAAGAACCATGTCAATCTGCGTCTCGGAATTACTGTCAGCTCCTAAAACCTCTGTAGCATTGAAGTGACCAATCATGTTTCACATATGGTCCCTTACAGATGCACCCGATTTCATGCGTGTGTTCATGATTACTCTAATGGAAGCTTGCCTAGCTTGTCGGCTTTGATGTCCAAACATCTCTTGAAAGTTTTCCATTATGTCAAAAGCAATTTGCATATTCTGATATTTCTGTTGTAATACATTTGGCATGGATGCCAAAATGTAACAACGGGCCATCTCATCAGAATGATGCTACTTTTCATATGCAGCCTTTTGAGATTCCGTAGAGTCATCTTTAGGGGTTTCGGGACAAACTTCATCTAACACAAATTTGTGTTTTTCAGCGGTAAGAACAATATTAATATTCCTTTTCCAGTCAACGTAGTTTTCTTCCACAAGTTGATTTTTGTTAAGTATTATTGATAATGGATTAAGCGACATATTCTGTAAATTAACGATTCACGTATTAATAAAATGAGCAATAATCTTTGTATGATGCATGTATATGAATATG